ATGTGCAAATGTGCTTGACACACTGGATGAATATATGGATTGTGATAAGAGATGTAAGAGCCCCTAATAAAAGTATTTTAAAAAAATTGTCATCCTAGTGAAGATTTTTTTTTTGTATCATTAAATTACTTGACCCTCTGTTTATGATGAAATCTGTTAACTCTTTTCATGTTAATTAACACTTTTCATAATAAAAAAACCACCACTGTTGACATTTTACTGATGTTGCCTGTTTGATTACTTATATTTTAAAATTAAAATTGTCTTGGAAATTGTGTATTGTGATGGTTTAATGACATATCAGCAAGTTAATGAGAAAGAACGTTTTCTTCCTATCCTAAATTAAATGTATTTATGTCTTTGTTTTGTTTCCTTAATAGATAGCAAACAATAAGGATGCGCTGCGGAAAACCTGGAATCCCAAGTTTACATTAAGAAGTCATTTTGACGGTATCCGAGCCCTTGCTTTCCACCCCATTGAGCCCGTTTTGATAACAGCATCAGAAGACCACACGTTAAAAATGTGGAATTTGCAGAAAACAGCCCCCGCCAAAAAGTGAGCACGTTCTGCTTATTTTTTTAAAGAATGCCTATTATTTTATTTTATTGGGGACTCTTAAAACTCGTCATAATCCATACATCGCTTGCATCAGGCAGATTTGTATATATGTTGCCGTAATTCTTTTCTAGACATTTACTTTCTATTGACCGCTTGGTATTAGCTCATCCTTTTTCCCCCTCCCTCCTTCCCTCCCACCCTCATAACCCCTTGATAGATTGTACATTGTTATTATTTTCATATCTCACACCGACCACTGTCTCCCTTTCCCTGTGTTTTCTGTTGTTCTTACCCCTGGAGAGGGGTGTATGGTTATGTGTCAGTCGTTGCGATCAGTTCTCCCTTTCTCCCTTCCTCTCCCCTACTTCCCCCTACGCTTCTGGTATTACTATTCCCACTCCTGTTCCTGGAATCTGTGTGTCGTGACTCCCATCTCTTATCCATACCCGTGTACATGCTCCGGTCTAGTCTGAATTGAGAAGCAGCACTGGGGTCATGGCAGTGGGGGGTGAGGAAGCCTCAAAGGAACCAGAGGATTATAGTGTGTTTCATAGATGCTTTACTGCACCCTGGTCACTCATCCCTTCCCTGTGGCCCCTCTGTGGGGAGATTGTTCCATTGTTTACAGATGGGCTTTGAATCTCTGCTCTACCCCACTCATTCTCAAAAATGATGTTTTTGTTTGTTAGTTGTGTGTCTGATAATGCCCATTACCTGGTCCCTATGACTCCTCATGATCACACCGGTGGTGTGCTTCTTGCATGTGGACTTGTTGCTTCTCTGCTGAATGTTGGCTTCAATCCTTTAAGACCCCAGACGCTATATCTTTTAATAGCCAGGTACCATCCACCTTCTTGACCACATTTGCTTATGCACCTGTTTTGCCTTCAGCGATTGTGTCAGGAGGGTGAGCATCTCAGACTGCTGATTTGTTACAACGAAGTGTTCTTGTATTGAGGGAGGTTATGAGCAGAGACCCGGAGTCCATCCCCTACCTCTTGGGTTTCCGTCCAACCTCCTCCTGACTTCCTGTATCTCACCAGAATGTTGTGATATAGGTGGCTTCTCTTCTTTACCTATCATGCTGATGACACTTACCTCAGGGGACTCATGCTGCACTTTTCCTTTTGTGATTGGCTGACTTAACTTAGCATAGTTTCCTCCACTCTTCCCATGAAAAGACGTGTTTCGTGTGCTCATCAGTGCTTTTTAGTGATGCATAGTACTTCATTGTGTGTATGTGCCAGAGTTTACTGCTCCACTCATCTACCAATGGAAATATACGTTGTTTCTAACTCTTTCCTATTGTGAATTGTTCTGCAATAAACATTGGAGCGCATATGACTGGTCGTGGTTTATTTCTTACTTCTTCTGGGTATATGCCCAGTAAAGGGATGGTATTCTTTTTATTAAAGAGATGGCTTATTTTTATTAGAACTTTTAGTTAACATTTTTCTCCACCCGAAAAATATTTTAGTACTTGCTATTAAGTTTCCCAAATATTGTTCCTCTCCTAATTATCTGTATCTTCATTGTTACATAATATCTGTTTTTCAAAATATTGTAGGTGAAAATTGACACAGCACATTAGTTTCACATTTAACAGTTGGCACACATTACTTCCGGACATTGGTTACAGTTTTTGCAATGTGATAGCATTCTCATTATTTCCCTTCTGTTTTTTTCTCGTTTCATTTATCTAACATCTCTGTTTCTCCTCGACTTCCCATCTGTGCTTTTGGGGAAATGCTGACCATTTTGGCTCATATACTTGATTGTCGAAGGCACCTCATTTCTTACTGGTGATATTTCCATTTTATGAGCCAGTCAGTCATTTGACTGAAAGGTGACTACACGGTACTACTCAGTTCCCAGTTAAACAGTATCTTGGGGACTTCTCCAGTTTCTTATCAGTCTGATCTTTTCCAGGAATTTGAATTTTTTCATATATTTTTCTCCTATCTGGGACCTTCTGTTTTGTCCCTGGTAGGATAATTGATAGTGGTAGCCAGGCACCTTCTAGTTGTTCTGGTTTCAAGTGAGAGGTGGCAGTGGTTTGCGTGGGCTCTTCGTCCAGTAGACTAGGTTCTCGGGTCTTTAGATACTTTCATGTTTTTCTTGCCTCACGCAGGAAGACCAATTAGATGGGCATTTGTAAGCCTGTAAGACTAGACACTATTCACCAAACTAGGAGGTACAATTTGTCTTTATGGACTGTGTTATGCCAGTAGACTGAGTTCTCCCACTATACTATGATCCCGAACTCTTTCACCCAGTAAACCAATCCCACAAGGTGTTTGGATATGTCTAGGTCGTCTCTGAAACTGTACCTTACTTGCTATATTATCTATGTTAGTACATAAGCAGCACACCCAAACATACATGCCTGTAAGTACATACATGTAGTGTTTGTTTTTACTGTTGCAAAAATGTGTTATAGAATTTACTGTAATTGTCCTTTATCCTTGCATGCTTCTCGGTGCCTTCATTTACCTTGGTCAAATCGTTCTTACTTTCCCATGTCCAGAAATAACTGGTGTTTACTGCCTACCAAATGATAAAACTTTCATCGTTCTACTTCTACCCCTGGTGACCCTCAAAGAGCATTGCTCAATGTGTGTGTACCTGTTCTTGTGTGTAATGTAATTTAGTTATTTTCCTTCATACCCATAATCTAATGTTTAGATAGAAACTGATGCTAATGGAGAAATTATCGCATCTGACAGCTTTCCCGGAGCTTATGAATACTGATTACAGTCCATATGTTGGCAATAGCTTCTGTTACATTTGGGCCTGTGGTACACTGGTTACTAGTTGTACTGCTAACCCCACCTGCTTCTTGAGAGAAAGATGAGGCTTTCTACCCCCGTGAAGAGTTAACGGTCATGGAAACTCACATGAGTATTTCTACTCTGCCCTGTCTTAGGCTCTCTATGAGTCAGAATCAACTTGATGGCAGTGGGGTGTTTTGGATTTTGTTTTATAAATTAAGTTTTAAATATGTCCCTGGATCATGATAACCCAATGTGTTAGAGACTAGTCCCATAGGGTTTTTCTTTATGGAATCTTTATGGAAACTGTTCTCCAGGTCTTTATTCCATAGAGTCTCTGGGTATGTTTGAACAACTAATCTTTAGGTTAGCAAAAAAAACAAACAAAACAAGCTCACTGCCATCGAGTCAACCCTGACTCATGGTAATCGTAGAGAGTAGGATGGGACTACTCCTGTAGGTTTCTGGCTACTGTAACTATTCACGGGAGTAGAAAGCTTCGTTTTTCTCCCAAGGAAGAGGGCTCTTGGTTTCAAATTGCTGACCTTAAGATTAGCAGTCCAGTAAGTAACCACTGCACCACCAAGGTTACCGGCCAATCACAAACTTCTGGGGCCACTGAGGCTCCCACAGTCTTTATACAACGTGTTAGATAGCTGTCACTCTTGGGGGCGTGGGTGGGGTGGGGCGCTTCCCTAGCTGTTCTGAAGATCTTTAGTGCTTATTTAAATCACTGTAAACCAGTACCAGTTGCCATTGAGACAACTGCAACTTGTGCAACGTCATGCATGTTAGAGTAGAACTGTGCACCAGAGGGTTGTCATTAACTGTTGTTTTTTATAGCAGTAGATTGCCAGGCCTTTCTTCAGCGGTACTTCTGGGTGGACTTAGACTGCCAACCTTTTGATTAATAGCTGAGTGCACTGTTTACACCACCCATAGACACGTAAAATCAATTTCTGTCTAGTCAATATTGACTCATAGTGACCTCGTGTGTGTGGGTAGAACTGTGGACCTTAGAGTTTTCATTGGCTGATGTATTGGAATTAGATTGGCATGCTTTTTCTCTGAGGTAGTTCTTGGGAGACTCAAACCTCCAACCTGTAGGTTAGAAATTGAGCACTTTAACAATTTTGTACTATCCACGTATAAAATTCACCAAACTAAACTCAACTGCGGGGCGTCAATTCTAACTCATGGTGACCCTATAGGACAGAGAACTGCCCCTGGGGTTTCAAAGTCTTTACTCTTAGAGAAGCAGACTGCCACGGTCTTTCTTCCTCGTTGTTAGCAGTTGTCTTTAGGTGCCACTGAGTCAGTTTCGACCTATCGCAACCCTGTGCACAACAGAACTAAACACTACCTGGTTCTGGGCCATCCTCAGAATGTGTCCTACAATTGCAGCCTTGCTGTGGAGGCCCTTCCTTTTTTAACTGCTCCTCCACTTTGCTGAGGATGATGCCCTTCTCCAGGGACTGGTCTCTTCTGGCAATATGTCCAAAGTATGTAAGGTGACGTCTTACCATCCTTGTTTCTAAAAAGCACTGTGGCCTTGCTTCTTCCAAGACACATTAGTTTGTCCTTTTAGCAGTACATGGTACTTTAATTATTCTTCCCAAGCTTCACAATTCCTATGCATCAATTCTTCTTTTATCTCCTTAGTCAGCATTCAATTTTCACATACATATGAGACAATTGAAAATACAAAATACCATGGTTTGGGTCAGGCACTTCTTAGTCTTCAAAGTGACATCTTTTCAGTACTCTATAAAGAGGTCCTGTGCAGCAGATTTATGTAATACAATGTGTCTTTTGATCTTTTGACTGCTGCTTCCAGGAGCATTGATTGTGGATCCAAGTAAGACAAAATCCTCAGCAACTTCAACTTATTCTCCATTTATCATGTCAATCCATCTTGTCGATTGTCGAAGACTGTCTTCTTTTTCGCTATTCCTCTACTTTTCCCAGCATGATATCCAAGCATGACAGCATGAGACAAAGTATATAAGGTGACTTCTGGTCGCACTTCTTCCAAGACAGATTTGTTTGTTCTTTGGCCGTCTGTGGTACCTTCAGTGTTCTTCCGTAGCACCATAGGTCAAAACATTGATTTTTCTTTAGCCTTCCTTAGTCAGTGTCCACCTTTCACATGCAGATGAGGCCATTGAAAATACTGTGGCTTGGCTCAGGTGTATCTTGGACTTCTCAGTAACATGTCTGCTTTTCAACACTCTATAAAGAGGTCTTATACAGCAAATTCGCCCAACGCAGTGCAGCCCCGATCTCTTGACTGCTGCTTCCAGGAGCATTGATTGTGAATCCAAGCAAGATGAAAGCTTCGATGACTTCAAGCTTTTCTCCTTTATCATGATGCCACCCATTGGTCCAGTTCTGAGGATTTAAGTTTCTTGACATTGAGTTGTAATGTGCACGGAAAGGGTTCAAGGCCTCCTCACTTTTAGCAAGTAGGGTTATGTCATCTGCATATTGCAGATTGATAATGAGCCTGCCTCCAATTCTTATATCACATTCTTATTCATGTAATCCAGTTTCTCTGATTATTTGCTCACTGCTAAAACACAGTAACACACAAGCACACGCCCCTCCCCCACCCCGGTACGACAAACTTGTAGACACGTGGCTGTCAAATTGTACTGCCCAGATTATATCATGACATAAGTGCCAAGCCACTAAGAATCACGGGCCAGGAAGTTGACGCACGCTCTTAACCATCACAGCCAGTGTTCCTCTCGCCTTGCACGTCATCATTATTTGCTGCCAGTTGTACATAGTTAATGTAAAAAATAAAGAGTAGGTTTTTCCCATTATTGGCATAATGCAAAATGTCAGGTTAGAAAACAGTTGATAAGGGCGTAGTGAATGTATGCACAGCTCTCCTAGGCTATTTTACTTGTAGAATTTAATTTAATCCTTGTGAGATGTTTGGTGTCAACCCCACATCTGTGTTTTGTTTTAAACATGACAGAATCTGAATGAAGTTCTGAAAGATAAATTAATTTACTTAAAGTTAGCACCTAATAACAACTGGAAATTGAATTCAGAACTTTGTTTCTTCAAAGTCCATGTTGCTTCCCTGAGGGACACAGATCATGGCAAGGTTAAAAGCACCATAACCTGGTATTAGTACTAAACAAAGGTCTTATTTCTTTGAAGCCATAATCATACATAATTGATGTTAGGTAAGCTTTTTTAGGCATCCAGTAATCTAGAATGGTACGTCATCATAATGTTTATTTATATTTTTTAAATCATTTTATTGGGGGCTCGCACAACTCTTATCACAATCCATACATACATTGTGTCAAGCACATTTGTACATTTATTGCCATCATCATTCGTAAAACATTTGCTTTCTACTTGAGCCCTTGATATCAACTCCTCATTTTCCCCCCTTTCTCCCTGCTGCCCCCTCCCTCATGAACCCTTGATAATTTATAAAATATTATTATTTTGTCATATAATGTTTATATTTTTAAAGATAACTTATGGCATATATACAGTCTTGAAATATAGAGTAGTAAAAGTTCTCTTTTTCTGATTTAGGAGTACGTCTCTTGATGTAGAACCTATCTATACATTCAGGGCTCATAAGTAAGTATATGCTTTTTCTGTTTTAAGCCAACAAAACCATAAATCAGCCTAACTATGGTGTTTTGTTTTCTTTAACTTTTGTATTATGTGTTATATTTTTTATATAGTATTGTGTAAATATGAAAAACTGACAGATAATACTAGCAAATAGGCTTATCACAGGGATCCTTGCTGAAATTAGAAACAGGGATCCTTGCTGAAATTAGATTTTATTTGCATGATGCTTAAATATATATCATATATACTCGAGTATAAGCTGACCCGAATATCAGCTGAGGCACCCAATTTTACCACAAAAACTTCATTAAAAATGTGCTGAAAAACTTGGCTTATGCATGAGTATATACGGTAACTTTCAAACAAGGCTGAAATAATTCAATTAAATTTTTGGTGTTGTAACTCGTCTTAGTTTTATATTACATGCTTTTCCTATTTCCATTTGCGCTTAAGGAATATTTCCATTCAACTGATTTAGCTCAGAAGATTCCATACTTTGCTCTGAATGTCAGGTCGTTTTCTTTCTTTCTTTTTTTTTTTTCAGATCGTTTTCTTTCCCAAGGTTAGCAAGCCAAATATTCGCCATTACCTATCCTTGATTTTTCTGTTTGTTTTGGTTTAACAAATGTAGAAACCATTGAATTTGACCTACAGCCTATGGTTTCCCAACCTCTGATATAACAGAGAAAGAAAACTGAACAATACTTTTGATAGTGGTTTTTATGCATCATAACAAACAAATCAGGTGTGGCCAAGTAAATTCCAACCATAGCAGCCCCATTTGTTGCGGCACAGAGCTGTACTCCATGGGGATTTCAAGGCTGCTCTTTCAGGAGCGGGCAGCCAGGCTTTTCTTTTGTGTTGCTGTTGCTGTTAGGTGCCTTCGAGTCCGATCCAACTCCAGCAGCCCTGTGTACAGCCAAAGGAAACCCTCCCACTCCTGCACCGTCCTCACGGTGGTTCTCAGGTTGGACCCATTGTTGCAGCCGCTTTGTCAGTTCATTTTGTGGGGGTCGTCTGCTTTACCAAGCACAGAGGCCTTCTCCAGTCTGGTCCCCGGATGGCATGTCCAGAGTACAGGAGATGAAGTCTTGCCATCCTTGCTTCTAAGAAGCATTCTGGCTGTGCTTCTTCCGAGACTGATTTGGCACTTGGAATGTTGTCAGCACCATAATTCAAATGCACTGATTTTTCTTCTTTCTTCCTATTCAACGTTCAACTTCCACATGCATATTGGGTGATTGAAAATACTGGCCAGTATTGTTTATAGTTAAGCACTTTGCTGTTTGGGCCTCTCTGAGACTCCCTCCATAAAAACAGGTTAAATACTATTTGAATGGTTACGCATTCTTATTTTTCTTAACAAGTCACATTCTTAGATAGAAATGGATTGTTCTCTCTCAGAGGTCCAGTGCTATGTGTGGTGATGAGCAACGATGGTGAGCAGTGTTACAGTGGAGGGACAGATGGGCTGATCCAGGGCTGGAACACCACTAACCCCAACATCGACCCCTATGACTCCTATGGTATGTGATACCGCAAAGATCTCAAGAATAAAATTGGTTGTATGTTTTTCCTAGCATATATAACCTATAATTATATTTTTGAGGGTAAATTTGTAAAAGAGAACCACACATTTATTTTGTTAAAAAGGACTCCTGTATCTGGGCAATGAGATGATATATAATGCTAAAAGAATGACGAAAACACTTCTTGAAGAAATAGCTGCAGGTCCCTAAATCTTATTGATGGGAAATGATGATTTGATTGATGATTTTCTTCACTTTATGTATCAGTATACTACTTGATTTATTGAACCGTGCATTGAGCTGCTAACCACAAGGCCAGCAGTTCAAAACCACTAGCCACTCCTCGGGAGAGAGATAGGGCTGTCTACTCCTGTAAAGAGTTAGAGTGTTGGAAACTCACAAGGACGGTTCTGCCCTGCCCTGTCGGGTTGCTGTGAGTCCTAATTGACTTGATGTCAGTGGATTCGCTTATTTTATTTCTTGGTAATCTCATTGATATTTCTTTACTATTATAGGCAATTTCGAAGGCAAAGAGATGCTGGCATCATTCCCCAATTAATTTGGAGGGTTGTATACAAATCAGATCTTTTGAAGTCCATGACCCCAAAGTGTTTAAGAGCCCTCAAAGCTAAAGAAGTGCCCTCTAATCTTGATAATAGTACCATGAAAAATAAATACATATTTTATTCTCTCCCCAGATTTAGCAGCTGTTACCATAGATTCCCTTGGCAAAGACTTTTTAGGAATTCACTATTTTTGCTTTCTCTTGTGTTAGTGAAAGACAAAAGGATCATATTTTCCATTAACATGTAATAATAATGGCTCACTGCTACAAGTCACTTCTGACTCATAGTGACCCTATAGACAGTAAAATGACCCTTGTGGGTTTATGAGACTATACATTTTTATGGAAGCAGAAAGCCTCATATTCTCCCTTGGAGTGGCTGGTGGTTTCGAACTTTTGATGTGGTTTGCAGCCTAATGAGTATTAGATTAATTAACCAAAATTAACATTGATTTTATAAGCATATTTTATGAAAGACATTTTGCTGGAGAATGTTCCTTAAGTGAACACAGTCCTTGTCCCAAAGAGCTGGCTCTCATTAGGACTTGCTCTTTCAGCAGAAAACAGGCTCAGCATGCTTTCTCTAATTCCAACCCCCTCCTTTCATTCTCT